TTGGTTTTTTCACTTAATAATATATCCTAACAATCATGTCATGTAAGTTCACAGGGCTCCCAGTCATTCTTTTTTTTTCTTTTTGGCTGCCTAGTATTCTATTGTATGGATGTACCATTGTTTGTTCAACCATTTTCTCAAGAATGGGCATTTGGATAGTTTCCAATGATTTCCTATTGTAAATATGCCTTTAAAAAACACCTTGTGGCTGGTCTTGGTGGCTCACGCCTATAATCCCAGCACTTTGGGAAGCTGAGGCAGGTGGACTACCTGAGCTCAGGAGTTTGAGACCAGCCTGGGCAACATGGTGAAATCCCATCTCTACTAAAATACAAAAAATTGGCTGGCGTGGTGGCATGCACTTGTAATCCCAACTACTCACAAGGCTGAGACAGAATTGCTTGAACCGGGAAGGTGGAGCTTGAAGTGAGCCAAGATCGCGCCACTGCACTCCAGCCTGGGCGACAGAGCGAGACTCTGTCTCAAAAAAAAAAAAAAAATCACCTTGTACGTATCTTTCCATATTTGTGAATGAGCATCTTCTGGATAAATTCCTAGAAGTAGGGTTGCTGGGTAAATGTGTATGTAGCTTTGTTAGATGCTGCTAACTTCCTCTGCACTGAGGGTGTACTACTGGTTTGTACTCCTGGCATTGATTATGCAACCTAGGTAGACCTTGCTCTGAGGTGTTCTAAGCTAAGACTTTCCTTGAACCTAGCTGAGAGTCCTTGACCTTCCTACCAATAAACACACTGCTCCAAACTCCCTCTGCCACACCCCAAGTGAAGTGGCAGAAAGGCAAGAGGAAGGGGGTCTTACTAATCCCATCCCAGTTCATCTTCCCTGAGTTGTCCCAGGGGTTTGTGCATGAAACTTGGGAAACTAGAGCAGAGGTGAGTGATGAGGCTGAGGATCTCAGGCAGACAGGAACTGGGGTGAGGAAAGGTAGAAATGGGGGCTCTGCCCCTTGGCACCTATGTTCTCAATCCTTTTCTTTCCTTCGGCCTCTCCACTATCCCTTCACACATAGACTGCCTCTCAACAGCCTCTTCTCTGACCTGGGGCCCTTGGCTCTGGTTCTCACTAGATCCTGCCTGGTTTCCCTCCTCAACCCAAGTTGGTGTAGGCTGAACACAGAGGACTGGCTTAAGGTAGAGGCAGAAATAGAAAGTCTCTGTCATTTCTGTTTTAACATGTGCGGAGGAAATAAGTCAGTGGAACAAGAATGGCTCACACAAGGGAAAGAGGAAAGAGGACACAAAGAGAGATACTGGCAGAGGAAGCCAAGGGCAAAACATTCCACACAAGCATTTTGGACTCCAGCCTCAGGGCCTGCTCTAATCCTATGACCTGTAGAAAAGGGGAAATGAGTGGAGAAAGGTTGTCATCCCAGTCTGACAAGGCAGAGGCCTTGCTTTTCGCATCGCTCTTTCCTTCTCAGCCCGACCCACCAAATACCGACTGGGATGATAGGAATCAATGCTTATCTAAGAAACAGGGAGCTGGACTGCATAGGGAGCCTTGTTTGAGAGGCACCCTTTGGGGGAAGAATTCAGATTGCCTGAAGAATCCTTCCAGAGAAGGATAGTTAAGACTCTGGGTGGGGTGTTCCCCTTCAAGGTCAGATTGCTAATCTAACCTTGGAGTTTGGAGCTAATCTAACCTAAATCAAACAGTTTTTTAGGGGTTTGGCTAACGGGGTTTGTCTTGGTCATTCTGGGGACTAAGAATGAACAAGATTCTTTCCTCTCTCCAAGGTTTAGTGGGTCTGCAATGCTCTGTCCTAGTGGGCAGGGCTGATCCATGTCTTTGGGTGTTGGGTCCAAGGCCAGGAGCATTGAAAAAAAAAAAAAAAAAAAGAGAGAGAGAGAAAAGTGCCCATCGGGGTTTTGGAGTTTTGGAGAGAAGCTAAATTCTTGAATAAGAGGCAGTTTGCAGTGAAAGGCTTGACCTACTGACAGGTGGCAGGGAGCAGCCCAGCCCCTGTTCCTCTCAGGACCTCGGGTCAGTGGGAGTGGGGAAGAGTAAAGCCTCCCCATATCCTGGCCCAGGACGTCCAGCCCCTACACACCACCTTACCTCTTCCAGCACCCACACTTTCGGCAAAGTCTAACCGCTCTCCTTCTGCCCCTAACTGGGTCCTCTCATTTTGATTTTCTTCTGACGAAGACCACAGCAATGTGACAAATCTGCCTAGCCACGCCCTGTCACCTCTACCGTGGAGAGCAGGCTTTTCATTGTGCAGAAGGGAAACTGGAGGCCAGACGGCGGGTTAGGAACTCGCTGGCATCAGGCTGATTCCAAGGCCCCCTAAACTGCCCGTACTTCTCTCAATGCGCGTTGACCCAGCGCTCTAACGTCCCAGGCTCTGTGCTGGGCGCTGGGAGTCCCAGGGGTAAGACAGGCTGTGCTCCTTTGACTTGACCTTCAATCCAGAGACTTGGTGGTAAATGGAAGGGAGAAGGGTCTGAGGCTCGGCACGACCTGGAAGGCAGGAAGCCTCCGTTGGCAGCTCAGTTCGCATTCTCCACGGAGTTCTCAGACTACGGCAGAGCCCGGGAGGGTGGAGCCCAGCAGCGGAGAGGCTGGCGGGGCGGGGTCGCAGAGGCCGCGGAAAGCAGAGGGGCCGCGGGGTTGCGCAGTCGATCCCGCCCCGAACCCCGGGGGAAGGGCTGAGACTGCGGGAGCCGATTCCCCGCTTTGGCAGCGACCTCAGGCTCAAAGCCGCGGGAGCAGGCAACCCGGTGCGCGCTAAATAACGACCTCACGGAGAAGCAGTCCCTGAGCCCGTCAACATCGACCCCTAATCAGATTACTGAAAATAGGAAGGCCGGCTGCAGGAATAGTGACACTCTGGGCCCCCACGATGGGAGGCCGCGGCGGAAGCGGCGTGATTTTCGGGGTTGCACCTCAGCAAGATGGTGGCAGGGAAGATGGGACTCCCGAGGAGGAGCAAAGAAATGGATCCCCTCCCTCCAGAACACGGGCATTGATTCTGTCTTGGGGCCCCTGCCCACTGGGGAAGGCCTCATTCCCTTATCGACCAGAATACAGGTAGGGAAGAGTCCAGCCAATGGGGTGCAGTCAGATCAATTAACACCTCAAAATGAAAATCGGTTCCTGTTGCTTCCTCAGCCCCGAGATGAGCTCTCCTCTAAGTGTTTTGCTTCCTTCTCCCCCACTTTCTCAGCTGTAGCCTTTACCACTCCTCCAAGCCCTGGGGCTGAAGGCAGGTGTTTCCTCTCCCCCAGCCTGATTCCCACAGATCTGTCTGCTTCAGGGTTTAGGGCCCACCTTCCAGAACACGGCTTACCAAGCTGCCACCATCCTTCCTGCCCCTCCCAGAGTCTGCTCCCCAAGCCACCACCCTCAGCCAAGGAGGGTAACTCAGCTCATGGGCTAGGAGGCCTCTTTTCGTCCCCTTCTTCCTAAATGCTCCTGGCCCAGCCCCTCCTTACCCCCAGGCTCCTTTCCTGGGCCTGGCCCAGCCTGGAATAAGCTTGGTCTCCTTCCTCCAGGTAGAGGGCCCAGAGTGAAGGGGGCACAGGAGGGCCTCCAATGAGAAGCCCTGGAGAAAGGGCAGCTTGGGGAGGGGCTTAAGGAGCAGGGCGAGGGTCTCTAGACTCCCTGCCAGACTCCTCACCCAGAGGAGGGAGCACTACAGAATGGGATTTTGTTTCCCTTCCCTCCCCAACTCCTTTCCCCTCCCCACAGGGGCCTCAGTTGAATGCCGGCCTATTGCTTCATCTGACATTCCCCCTGCCCGGCCAGCAGGCGCCGGCATCATGTCTGCAAGTTATTGTAAGTCCGGCAGGAATGCCCAGGAGGGAGGTGCCTCTGGCCAGCAGAGTGCCCACTCCCCTCCCAAGATGTGGCTGGCCACTCCTGCACCCTCCACACCCAGTTGGAGAAGAGCGGCGGGTACCCTCAGGGAGGTGGAGGAGTGTATGAGGCCAGACTTGACGCGGGGAAGGATGCCAGCATCCCCCTCTACCAAGAGCGAACCAAGTATGTAAGAGAAAGAGAGAAGGGAGAGCAGGAAGGACAATCCCATTCTTAATTCCTAGCTCTTCAGCAAACCAAGGAAGTGACCCAAGATGCTCAGGGACCCTTCCACAGATGCCTGTGGCCCACCCCGTCTGCCAAACACTCACCAGCCCCACAGTCTCCAGCCTTGAAATCGGAAACTTTTCAATTCACCCTTCTCCTTCCTCCCCTTTGGGACCAGAGATGTATGGGGCGGTGCCCTCGGAGACACTCATACAGTTGGTTCTGGACGCTCACACACTCTCAAACAACAGCGGTACGAGGGAACTCCCAGCTTTTTCCACAGCTAATTATAGATGTGAAAGTCTGAGGATGTTTTGCAAGCAACACAGAGAAACTGCTTAGGTTTCTCTGCAAAGCTAAAGAAATTTAATTTGTGCACTCTCCTTCCCCCACTCCTCCCAACTTCTCCCAGCCCACCTCTACCCCATGGCCCCAAAGTGCCCCTCTCCTAGTTCCCGCTGCAGCCCCCCTTTCCTACTGAAGATTTCTTTAGTTCCTTTTTTTTTTTTTTCCATCTCTCTTTTGGGCTTTTGAGAAAGGGAACAGACACGGAAAATATTTTTGCAACAGTTTTCCATCCTGCGTCTCATTCCCAAGCCAAGGGGGAAGGGGAGGGCAGGAATGGAATGGGTTGAGGGAGGGGAGATAAATGTTTTTTCCAAGAGTTCAATTTTGGTGTCAAAAAGAGAGTCCCTCCATTCCCCTACCCCATAGCACAGGAATGACAAGAACTGGGAAAAGAGAGATAAATCACTTATTTGACTATACAGTTTCTCAGAAAACAGTATTTGACAAATCTGTGCACACACACACATTTTTAAAAATCCTCCAAACCCAGTCGCATGAAATATGCTAGAAAGAGGAAAATCGGGGAGTTTTAGAAGCCACTGAGAGAAAAGAAAGAAACAAAGTTTGCAAATCACAAGTCAATTCATTCTCTGCAAGCCTACCTCTCTTTCTAGCAAAGATCCAGGTTTCTCCAAGTGGGACTCTCCCTCCGGGTTTCCATGGATGGGGGTAGGGTGGGGTGACCACCCACCAGTCTCCCCAGTGTGGCAACCAAGCTGGAGACGCTGGCTTTGCTCTCTTGCCTTTCCGGCTAGGGCCGGGGAGTGGGCTGGGTCTCCTCCCCCTGCCCTTCCAATGGGAAGGACCTCTCAGGTTCCTGAAAGAAAAAGGGTGCAGGAGAGCTGGACGGGTGTCTCTGATCTTGCTCTCTTCAGAGGGATGGTTCCCCAGGAAGTTCGTGCCCCCCTCCCAGCCCCCAGCGTTGGACAATCTCAACAGCAGAGCTTTCTTAAGAAAATGCTTGTCATGGCAACAGCTCTAGCTAACTCGGGCCAGACTCCTGCTCACCAGCTCTCCCCAAGCAGTGCGGGAAGAGAGAGGGGAGGAGCAGGAGCTGGAACAGAGGTGGGACTTGGCATGAGGCCAAACCATTACTCTACTGTTAAGGTGGCCCGATTCCTGCGGTTGCTTCCTGGTTTGTCTTAAGGGGGAATGGGGAAAGAAAGGGAAGGAATCCTCTCCCCTGTCGGCTTTCTTCCCCACCCTTGCTCTCACTTGTTGAATAGAAAGCTGAGTGGGGTGGAGGAGGGGTGAGGGTGGAGGTGGGGAGTGGATGTGGGTGGCGGTATTCAACGGTTGCTGGGCGGAGGGGAAAAAAAAGGAAGCTTCGGCAGGCGGTTGGCTTCCTGCAGCTCCTATGGGCCTCTCAACCCCTTACTCACTTAGATCCAGGACCCAGAAACCCAAGGTGTCTGTGGACACTTGTATGTCCCCTCCCACCTTCCTGCTCCTGTCTGAATAGGGGGTTCCTTGGAGAAGGAGAATAAATTGTTTTGTAAACACACACACACACACACACCTCTTCCCCGACACCTTATATACAGGTCACATTTTGTTCCCTCTTGCCCCTGTACCCACCAGAGGTATACTGACAGTGCATGAAAATAGCTGCCTACTTTTGAGTCCTGCTATGCGTAGGCTATGACACCAAAAGCTTTGTCTATACGATATCATTTCTAGTCCTCATGGCAATTTTGAAAGGTACTTGTTTTTAGCCTCATTTCCTAGCTGAGGAAATTGAAGATTGAGTGTCTGGCCCAAGGTTATACATCTGGTTCATGACAGAGCCAACAATGCAAAGCCAAGTCAGATGGACTCCAAAGCCCAAGTACTTTCCTGTACTTGTATCATACTCCGGCACACATTTCTGTTTTAATTTGGACACACTCAGACATCCCTGCACACTTATACACAGCCTGTAAACTGTTAATCACAGCCCCATACCCACACACCCACTAGCATTGTGCAACAGTGCCACCCATAGATTTTGCATAGAACTTTATGGCTTTCAAGCACAAACATGCACCATCAGCTGGTTCACACAACAACATAACTTCATTGACTGACAGATTCCCACACCTACCTCAGCAAACACACTCATGTTTATATGCTTGTGGAAGGCGCGTTGACATATATCTCACAGGTTATAGCTATGAGCTATGCTGTGAAGAAGGTGACTGGCCACTACTTCCCAATCTTTTAAACAGAGGGTTGGGAAAAGGCCTCTTTGATCCTATCATTCTAACCCAACACCTCACACCACCCCTGTCCTTCTTTGCTGTCATCCCTGCCCCCAAGAAGCAGAGCCACACGCACATGGAGAAACAGAGTTGTGAATTAGACCCAGGGGTTCAGTTTCCCCTGTGTCCAATTAGCACCCTTCCCAATGTTCTCTCATTTGGGTCCTCTTTTTCCTCTTCATTTTCTTACCCTGCTATTTCTTTTTTCTTTTTTTTTGAGATGGAGTCTTGCTCTGTGGCCCAGGCTGGAGTGCAGTGGCGTGATCTCGGCTCACTGCAACCTCTGCCTCCCGGGTTCACGCCATTCTCCTGCCTCAGCCTCCCGAGTAGCTGGGACT